TCTTATCAAAGCCCTGCAGTATAGTAAGAGAAACCTGTGTATCCACACATGCTGTAAAGCAGTAAATCAGGGTGGAGGGTGTTTTTAGTGATATGGTAGACGGGTGGAGGGTGAGGTGGAGAATAAAGTACTGTTGGCCATCCATCAGAATAAGGGTCAACAAACTTTCTTATTTTTCAGCTTTATTAGCTATTACACAGTCCCTTGCAACTACCGAACTCTGCTGTTTTATCACGAAAGAAGGCATTGGTAAGAGTAATAGAATGAGCATTACTGTGTGCCAGTAAAATTCTGTCTATGAAAGCGGAGGGTCAGCCATAGTTATTGAACCTTGAACTAGAGCAAACCTTGTGGTTGATAGAACTTTGTACTTCTTTTGGTTTGGTTCTTAATACTATCCCATGTCCAAGGAAGAATGTCTTAGAATAAGGAGTGGCATTACTAATCTCAGATGGATCTTGACTGGAAGAAGAGAATACAAGAAAGATGTTTTTTTATCTGTTTTATTATTGACTATGAAAACTGTATGTTTCATAACAAATTATGGATAGCATTGTGAAGAATGGAAATTTCAGAACACTTAATTGTGCTCATGGAGAACCTGCACATAGACCAAGAGGCAGTTATTTGGACGGGGCAAGGGAATTCTGAATGGTTTAAAATCAGGGAACATGTTCATCATAATTATTCAATCTGTATGCTGAGCAAATAATCTGAGAAGCTGTACTGCATGAAAAAGAATGTGGCATCAGGAGTGAAGGAAGATTCATAAACAGCCAATAAGCAGATAACTTATCTTTGCTTGCTCAAAGGGATGAGGATTGGAAGCACTTACCTATGAAGATCAAAAACTACAGCCGTCACAGTGGATTACACTTCAACTTAAAAGTCCTCATGAATGGATTGATAAGCAGCACCAGGATCAATAGAGAAAACACTGACGTGAGGATTTCATTTTACTTGGGTCCACAATCAATGCCCATGGAGTCAAGAAATTAAGGCCGTATTGCATTGGACAAATCTGTTACAAAAGATTCCTTTAAAGTATTAAAGAACCAAAACTGTCACGTGGATGACGGGTTCACTTGGCTCCAGCCTGTAGTTGCGGCTCTGGGTCAGGCCACCTGACTGAGCTTTTCCTTTGGGGTCACCTGCCCCTTGCCAACAGGAAGTCCTTCTCTAGGTGTTTCACTTTCCTGATGATGTGGCCCACGTACGCCTAACGAGGTTGCCCCAGCGCAGGAGCATTCTGGTTTTATTTCTTGAGTGTAGGAAGGTGGGAAGAAGCTTAAGCAGTGGTGACTGTAAGACCGAAGAAGAAGATAAATAGTTTGAGCTTAATCCTGAACACACGAGTTGGAGTGGTAAGTCAAAGGGATCTGAGAGCGGAGAACTAAAGGTAGGGCTGATGAGTTATCCAGGCGGGATGATGTGGAGGCCTAACTTAGTACTGGCAGAACCTTGGGGTCAGCCCAAGCCCTCTTTGGAACTTGTTTTTCGGTATGATTCTGGTCCACAATAAAAATATTGTTGCGATGATTCTGGTCTACAATAAAAATATTGTTGGTAGGTGTGATCAAGTCGGTTCCAACTCTTAATAGTGTGTTCTAAATGGAAGTTCTACGACTTCGTTTTCAGACACCATTCACCATAAAATCAATTCTATGATTGTCTACGGCAGCGGTTCTCAACCTATGGGTTGTGACCCCTTTAGGGATAAAATGACCCTTTCACAGGGGTCACCTGATTCATAACAGTAGGAAAATTACAATTATGAAGTAGTGTATCAATGAAAATAATTTTATGGTTGGGGGGGTCACTACAACATGAGGAACTGTACTAAAGGGTTGTGGCATTAGGAAAGTTGAGAACCACTGGTCTAAGGGAATGTAAATTTCACAAAGTGACTATATCCCAGTACATACTGCCAGGAGCACTTTAGCATCTACCATTTGGTGTACTTGAAAAAGCAACCATCTACTTAAGTTTAACCTTTAAAAAATGGTACAGAGATGAAATAGGCCCTCTCTTCTAGGAACAATTTTTTTGAGCTGTCACAATTGAAAAAAAAATGGCTCTGGGTGTTGGAATGTAATACACCTTTTCCTTGGCTACCTTAATCCCTCTCCCGGAAACCCTGGGCAAACATACACGAGTTGGGTAAACCAGGAGCAAGTTGTACAACAGAAAAATCTTATTCTTCCAGTGACTTCTTCTTGCAGATACAAAAGGAATGCTATCATGTTATGTTTATCTATTGTTCCTGATGCATCATCTTACTAAATCGCTTCCTAATAACTAACTGCTTTTAAGTTGACCAGCAATTAGCTCATCATGCATTAGCATTTCATTATCTGAAAACTTTTCCTGGATTTAAAAGTACTTACTTTTCAAACAATGACCAGGAAATACTAGATGATTAACCTAAAATTGAACATGAGCATTCTAAGACGAAGAAGACTGCTAGAGGCCCCTGAGTTGGGCTTCCTTGGTAACTGAGACCCCAGTGTTCCTGGACGACATCAACGTGACAAGTCGTCACAAAGGAGAGCTCCACTTTGGAGCCGTGGTCAGTTTCACTTTGGTTCCCTTAACACCATCGGTGACCGCCCACTCTGCCTGTATGGAGCCATCCTTGGTGTTAGGTGTCTTCCAGTCTGTGCCGACTCAGAGTGACCTTGTGTACAGCAGAAGAAAGCACTACCTGGTGCTGTGCTGCCCTCACAGCTGTTCTTACGTTGGAGCCCATTGATGTAGCCACTGTGTCAATCCAGCTTGTCAAAGATATTGCTCTTTTTCACTGCCCCTCCACATTCCCTAGCACGATGCTCTTCTCCAGGGACTGGTCTCTCCCGATAACATGTCCCAGTATGTGAAAGGAAGTGCAAATGGTTTGGAGATCCAAATTCATTCAGAGACACCTTGGAAGAAAGGTTTGGCGATCTACCGTACTTCTGAAAACTTAGCCACTGAAAACACTGTTTTAACATTCACTGAGTCGCCATGAATTAAAATCAACTCAATGGCAACTGTTTTGTGGAAAAGTGGAATTGAAGGAGAGTTGCATTTGCCCACAGACTCTTTGAAGCCCCCTCACATATATGTGTTGTTGAATGCCTTTAACTCCATCTCAGCTCATAGTGATACTATGTACAACAAAACACTACCTTCTCCTGGTCATCCTCACAAGGCTGCTACGTTTGCACCCACTGCAACCCACTGAGGGTCTTCCGCTTTTTCACTCACCCTCTACCAGGAATGATATCCTTCTCCAGGGCCTGGTCTCTTCTGATACATGTCCAGATCTGTAAGACAAAGTGCCTGCATCCTAAGGAATGCACGAGCTGTCATTCGTGCCAGACAGGTTTTGTTGTCTTTTGGACAGTCCGATACCCAATATTTTTCACCGAGACCACCATTCAAATACACAGATTTGCTTCATTCTTCCTTATTCATCGCCAGCTGTTGCATGCATGTGAGGTCATTGAAAATGCCCCGTCTTGAGTGCTTAGTGCTGCAAGTGACGTGTTTGTTCTCTAACTCATTGAAGGAGTCTTTTACATCAGATGTGACAAATGCAATGCATCATTTTGCTCACTTTTTTAACATCGGTACTTTTAAAATGTCAATAAAAAAACTGTTGTGAGTGAATGAAGGTTCAGAGAACAGATCGTCAGCTTTACTTTCAACCATCATAAGTATTTCGCATCAACTCCTGCATGGCAATCCTCTCAGTGCGCTACCACTTATTCCACTTCTTCCCTATGTTTCCCAGGTTGATTCCTCCTCCTTCCCTAAACCACCGAATTCAGTCCTTGGCAAATGTTACCTTTTTGATCTAAAATGATTGGTTATTCTAGCACGGCTGGGTTCAGTTCCAGACCTAAAAGGGGGCTAAGAGGCATAGTCTCGGGGGTTCTGTTCTCTCGTGGCTTTAAGATTTGTTGCTCCATTCCCTTCCACTGATCCAGGACCTTCTCACGTGACCCTTTGCAAAGCAGGCGGGAGTGGTAGCCAAGCACCACTAGTTCGTCTGGTCTCAGGATTGTGGATACTGATGTGTTTGTGGTCCATGAGACTCGTTTTTTCTACGTCTTCTGATTTGCATCACTTTTCAAGGCCAATGTTGGACCTTAGATGGATGCGTGTAGACTTTAAGACCCCAGGTGCTCCTTGCAACACTAGGTACATCCTTTCCGGGGGGTTTTTTGAATCATTTTATTGGGGGCTCGTACAACTCTTAGCACAATCCATACCTCCATTGTGTGTCAAACACATTTGTATATTTGTTGTCCTCAGCATTCTCAAAACATTTGCTTTCTACTTGAGCCCTTGGATCAACTCCTTATTTTCCCCCTCCCTCCCTGCTCCCATTTGACTTCTTAAGTGGCGCTTCTGGAGGATGCTGTACTGAAACTCAGCCTCCACTGAGGAATACGAATTTTCAGTGGCAAGCCATTGCATTTCCAGTTAAGCTGTATTGAATTTTGGTCTGATGAGATTTTTAGCAGTGCACCTGCCATTACTGAGGATTCTAAACATTTGTTGGCATATCATATCTCCTTTTGACCAATTTACCTAGGTAACCACTGAGGTGATTTGAAGATTATCATCGAACTTTGTCATCAAATATTATCCAGAACCTGTTACACACTTTACATGGTGTTAAGTAGCCATGACAGCGTTGCTTCAATGGAACCAGTTACTTTGTTCAAAGAATCTTGAAAATAGGATTTGTCATTAAAAAACAAAACAAGCAGTGGTTTCTTCATAAAAGAAATATAGAGGAACCTGGACTGTTTTTGTTATAGATTCTGACTAGTGATTAACATCTTTTGCATACTAGACCTTTGGTCAATTCTAAAACGTCTCTCAGAGCTGGGTTTCTGTCTGTGATTTCAGTAACCTTTACTGTGGGTATGAAATGCATAGCTTCAAGGAGTGGGATGCATTGTACCATGGGGCAGCGCATCACTTTTGTTTTGTTTATTTATTTACAGTGGGATCATGAAACCCGGCCTCAATGCCATCCTGGGACCCACAGGTGGAGGCAAATCTTCGTGAGTAGAACAGAGCATATACATTGTTTCCTCTTGGACATTTTAGTGTCCTTTTTAAAAAGCAGTTAAAAATAAATTCTTTCTATTTAAATGGAAAGTTACTTTTCTGAGAGCAGGTATTTGCTGAGCATTTGCTGCTTGTTCATAGTGGTTCTGTGTGCCACTGGGAACATGCAGTTGTGTTAGGCTGGGTCAAGGACAAAGTCATCTTCTCGGTAAGCCTTGCCAAGCAGACATGGCACTGAGATGGTCATACAGCTGCTGGCGTGATTTGAGATAATGGGAAGTGTGAGGAAGGGTATAAAATGAAAAGCAGGAAGACGGAGCACCTTAGTATAAATGAAAGCATGAATCTTGGATGAAAGAGCAAGTTGTTCTTGCTGGTGTGCCAAGGTCAAGCATCAGGCAGGCCTATGTGTAAACTTCCTTTGGCGTATCTGCACTGGTCAGCCAACAGTGTTTGCTTGTATGTTTTGGGACTTTGTCACAATGTATAGTATAAATAGGTGGGTGAGAATTTAAAATGACCTATAGTTTCTCTTAAATAAGACCTTCTTGACCCATTAATGTTCTAACTTGAAGCAGAATGTGGATAAAGACTTGCTGGGACATGTAGCCTTAATTGGAGAAAAAAACAAATTGCATGCATGTCCTTTTATAGGTTGTTAGACATCTTGGCGGCAAGGAAAGATCCACATGGATTGTCTGGAGATGTTTTGATAAATGGCGCACGTCGGCCTTCTAATTTCAAATGCACTTCAGGTTATGTGGTGCAGGTAAGCATGAGTGGGTTTGTACTTTCCATTTCTCTTACCACCTGCGATGAGCAGAATTAGGACCACCTCTGACCTCTGTCAGGCTTCAGACATGCCTCTGCGATCCATCCTTCTTTACCTATTCTGAAATCACACCCTCTACTACTCTACTGGTGGGTTTGATCATTCGTTGCAAGGGGCCGCACAGCACTCACAGACGATACTCACAATTAAGGGGGGTTATGATGGAAGTTAATGGGTCTCCACAAGTCTAGATCAACAAGCCGTCAAGATACAGTCTTTGGTCCCCAGAAACACCTCTCCCCGGCCAGCAGCCACGTGTCTCTCCAGCCCTCAGTCTCTTTTAGACTTTGCCTCCATAGGCCAGCAAGCCAACTCCTGCCTTCGGTGCCACCGTTCCATAGTCTTGGGCCAGATGAGAAGGCCCATAGTCTTGCCACTGTTCCTCTGAGCCTCTGTGCCACCGTCTCTGGTGCGTCTGGTTTCAGCCTCAGCCATGTTAGACAGAGATCTGGGGCATGCTCTCCCAAATGGCTTTGGGATCTTTCTGTGTCCCAGATGGCTCTTAGAGTCTGAGGATTGGCTTGATGGAGGTGTGGCTTGTCTTTTAGCTAATCCTACCCCCAAGGAAAACAGAGACTGGCATCTTAAGTCACACCCTCTAGTAAAGTGGCCTTAAAGAAGCCACCAAGGAAATGAAGGGTGTGACTGGGTTCAGACCCTCTACAAAGGGCAAGACTTCACCACATCTTAATCCTGTAAATGGGGTCATAGCCACAGGCATGATGTCCAGAGTTAGAGTACATCCCATAAGGAATTATGGCTGGAAGGGCCGCATGAATGGACTATCACTCACTATCTAGCCAAGGGCCTTGGCAAACATACAGTTCATTGTGTTTCTGATTCATTGCATCACATGCTCATGGGAACAGCATTCTTACACCAGCCTGAACCAAGCTTCCTTCCCCCGAGTCCATTCTGACTCACTGTGATGCTCTCTGAGTTTTCGAGAGTGTTTGTGGGAATAGGAAGCCCAGTCTTTGTCCCGTGGTGCTTCTGGTGCTTTTAAGCTGCCGGCCATGCAGAACGCAGCCCAAGGAATAACCGCTACACTACCAGAGCCCCTTTCTTGCCACCAGCCCTTCCCAATGTCTCAGCAGACTCAGGTTAGGGTTAAATGAAAAGGCGGGGAGAATCGGACAATGACCATTGTAAGGAAAATGATATCCATTCTAGTTAGCATATCATTTCCAAAAGATGTTACTATTGGGCTTTTATGTGCTACCTTTACCTCGGTCCTTTCCTGCCCTTCTTAGGAAAGTGTTTTAGCAAGGACGCGTCTAAAGGCATCTTGAAATGTCTGCTCATAGCAATTCTAACTGCCCGTGTTCTATGTTACTGTACAGAGAGGCGGAGAAGGGTATTCTGTCAGCCTTGGCAGCTGCATGGGGAGTCACTGTAATTTGTGGAATACAGAGTTCATCAATAACTAGGATGTTATTTTTGTGGATTGAATTTCACGTACTAATGAAAGAGGAGACCGGTGCCGTGGCAGGTTACACACTGGGCTGCTAACCATCGGGTCAGTGGTTGGAACTCACCGATCTCTCCGAGGGAGAAAGATGAGGCTGCCTGTCCCCGTGAAGCTTTGCAAGCCCTTCTAGAAACCCAAAGGGCCGCTTCTACTCTGTTCCTGGTGTTGCGATGAGTCGGAGCAGAGCTGATGGCATGAGCTTATGAGTGAGTTTAATGAGGGAAATGATACATCATTTACAAGAAAGGTCTGTTTTTAATGCACCATTTTGCCTCAAGGATGATGTCGTGATGGGAACATTGACGGTGAGAGAAAACTTACAGTTCTCAGCAGCTCTTCGGCTTCCAACAACTATGAGGAATCATGAAAAAAACGAGCGGATTAACATGATCATTCAAGAGTTGGGATTGAGCAAAGTGGCGGATTCCAAGGTAACGCAGACAACAGCGGAGTGTTGTAGCCGCAAGGAGGGCTTCAAATGTGGGCAT